AAATGCTAGATCAAATGCAACTCTGTATTTAGTTTTTGAGGAACAAACATGCTATTTTCCATGGCAGCTGCATAGCTTTACATTCCCACTAACAATACACAGTTTTAATTTCTGTACTTCTTGCCAGTACTTGTTTTATATCTCCTTAACAACAATTATTCTTACAGGTGTTAGGTAGAATTTCACTGTAGTCTTGGTTTTTTTAAAGAAGGAATATTTTAAAAGATCAACTGGTTCTTCTTGGTCTACAGCATCCTGCATGACATTAAGTATCTAATTATGCAGGCTGGAGAGATGGCTCAGTAGTTAAGAGCACTGACTGCCTTTGCAGAGGACCCGGGTTCAAGTCTCAGTACCCACATGGAGACTAACAACCATCTGTAACTCTTATGCCTTCTTCTGACCTCCATGGGTATTGCACAACACAGGTGCACTTACATATATGCCAGCAATAGACATGAAAGAAAAATAATAAATACAAATACTTTTTTAAAATTTTTATTCATTTTTATTTTATGTGTATGAGCGTATTGCCTGCATGTAGGTAAGTACACCCATGTCGTGCAATGCCTGCAGAGGTCAGAAGAGGCTGTCGGATCCTCTGGACTGGAGTTATAGACGGTTGTTAGCTGCCATGTGGGCGTTGGGGTTCAAACCCGGGTCTTCTGCAAGAACAACCAGTGTTCTTAACCACTTTGCCATCTCTCCAGCCCCACAAATACTTTTTAAAAATAAATAAATATCTAATTATGAAAGGCCTCCAATAAACAAGTTTCCTGAAGTTGGTCTCCAGGTCATCCTGCCCCCCTCTGGACGGCCATCTCTCCTGTACAGTCTCTCAGGAGCAATCAGCCTCTGCTCCCTCCTCTGGTTATCACTATGAAAGCTATGGATACCAAAAAGAATTTGTTCTTATCAGACCGAGACAGAACTGCGCTGGCTCACGCCTACCTGTTTGAGGATAAGTGCTTTCTCAAGGATTTCAAAAGTCCCACCAAGATTTCTTTGAGTTCTGCATACACCCCATACATTCCTCACAAACTTGAATAACACAACTTCTTTTCTTTTCCTAATTATTTAATTACTTATGTATTTGTTTTTGTGAGATAGGTCTTGCTAGACAGCCCAGTCTTGAACTCACTATGTACAGGCCCAGACTGGCTTCAAACAATCCTCCTGCCTCAGCTTCCTAAGTGCTGGGATTATAGGCATGTACCACTATGCACAACCAATAAAGCTTATTTTCAACATTCTTTAAGACTAATTCAACTCAGAGAAGACCCTCTGGACAGAACACTTGCCAGCAAGTTGGTATGCTGACACCAACTCTTGCTAAAGTCTCCAAAACCAAGAACTCTGTACTATATATAAAATTCTCCCTCTTTGCCTTCAAAAACTTCCCCTTTCCTCAGATCTCCTTGATCAGGGTTTACTATGGCATGCTTAGTAGTCCCATTAAAAATCCTTAACCTTCCAGAATACACAGTTATTTGAAGAGGGGAAATGTCTGATAGTTATTCAGTCTTATGGTTGGTTTAGATCTTAAATGTCCACTAAAGGACTATATGTTAAAGGTCTTGTGACTTTTAACATACAGTGCAACTGCAAGATGACAGAACCTTTGGGATTAGGACTTAGTGAAAGAAAGTTGGATTGTTTGCAGCATAGCTTTGAAGTGGCTGTGGGAATCATCTTCCTCTCTGCTTCCCAGCTGCTCAGTGAACAGGCCTCTCTCACCACATGCTCCAGCAGCCACAGTCAGCTATACTGCCACAGGCCCAAAGCAACTGGGCCAAGTGACCACAAACAGAAACCTCTAAAACTGTGGGCCAAAATAAGCCTTTCTTCTTTTTAAATTCTTTATCTCAGCTGTTTTCTACAGCAGTAGAAAGCTAACAAAAAGGTTGGTACTACAAATGCCTCCCCACCTAGGAAACTCTGCTTGCATGGGCTCTAACACTGGACATCTGTTACAGCTAACCCCTCTACAACCAAATATTCAAACAACTCTTTTAAACAATGTATTTGTGGAGTGAGGGCTGTAGCTCGATTGACAGAGCACTTGCCTAGCATGATTGAAGCACTAGCACCACATAAACTGGGCATGCTGGTGTATGCCTGTAATCCCAGCACTTGGGAAGTGGAGACAGGAAGGTTAGAAGTTTAAGATTATCCTCAGCTACATATTGAATTCAAACCCAGCCTGGGATACATGAGATCTTGTAATAAACAAAGAAACAAGAAGTCTTACTAAACATGAACTAACTTTTTTCTTATCCTTATTCCCTTAATAAAGTGTAATAACTATTTACATAACATTTACATTTTTAAGTTTTGTAAGTCACAGGTGATGTGAAGTATAAAGTACAAAATATAAATAAAATACATGATTTTGTAGATTATATGCAAATACTATATACCATGAGTGACCTGGGCCAGCCTTTCTCCTTGTCCAGGCCCTACTCACATGTCATTCAAAGGTAAAATGAAAAAGCTAGACAGTCCCATCCTGAACCTGTGCTGAGCAGGACACTCCAGCCTCCAGGAGTTACAACTGGCTGATTTATGAAGAAAGTCCCTTAAAGGTGAGACTCAAAGGCAGCAAGCAGGTCCCCAAACCTCTCAACTAAAGAACAATCAGAACTTAGCTTCCCTGAGCTGGTATTTTCTAGAAATGCTACCATTGATCAATTCATATACAGTGTAATCTTCTAAGGAGGCAAAGTTACTTACAGCAAAAGAAACCATAACGGCTGGTCTCCCTTAACAGAAGAACTTGACTCCTAGTTCTCATTTACCGCCTTTGTTTCCTCTCCTCTTCCATTTCAGTCATCTGATAGCCATCAGCTCGGTTGCTTATAAGTAGATGTGGTAAAAGATTATGGAAATTTTTTTGGTTTCACCTTATTTTATAAGGTTCAAGGTCTCACTATGCTGCCCAGGCTGGATTATAGGCACATACCAATGTATCTGGCCTAAAAATGGATTTTAAACTGTTGGGTCCTTAGTATCCATAACCACTTTTAATATAAGAGTTTCATAAGGAGGTGTTGAATAAATCAAAGTAGACTTATTAAAGCAAGACCAAATGTCTGCCTTCTAGTACCATGAGTACCAGCAACCTTCAATCAATAGCAACTGGTGATAATATGAAAGTAATGGCCATCACATTTTCATTTTTATTAATTTAAAGACACAACATGGAGCCAGGTGTGGTGACAAACACTTGTAATCCCAGATACTCAAGACACTGAGGCAGGAAGATCATGAGTCTGAGGCCAGCCTGGGCTACCTAGAGAGATACTACCCATAAATATATATATATATATATATATACAAACATACATACATAAATAAAATATATAGTATGTAGGTATAAATAACAGTCTCTACATGTTTGGGTTTTTTTTTTTTCCAATATGGTGCTGGGGATTGGACCTGGGCCTCAATATTTTTTTTAGGTTACTTTCATTTTCCTTTTCTGGACATAAACTGAGCTGAAATGACACATTTACTTTTATTAAATAATGTTCTATTAGTATATTTTTACTAACCAAAGTCTACACATAGACTTCTTTTGTTTTCCCATAACATTTTACATTTGATGGTATATGTTGTGTGGACCCTCCCAGCTGTTAAAGAGTTTCTCAGATGTCAAGACCTTGATCGGAGGACGTCAGGTCCTCATCATTTGTAAAATGTTCCTCGGCTGAGGTTTGTGACATCTTTCCCTTGGGGTTATCCTGAGGTCGTGGAATTTGGGAATATACCACACAGGTGAAGTACCCTTCTCACACCATCCTAATCAAGAACACACATGGTTGTTGAGTTTTGTTTTGTTTTGTGTTACCTTGGCCAATCTTGATGTCTGTACAGACTGACAGGCATTTCCTAACTGTAGGTGCCAGGTGTGTACCAAATGTGTTTGTATCTTACAAACACAACTGCATACTTGGAAAATCATACTTGATTTTATTTAGGTTTTATATTCGAACAACAATAATTTTGCAGCTAACTTCATTAAATAAATATCCCTGGTTTTAGATTTTCACTCAAAATTGTCAGCCCTTCATCTCTTTTTTGAGGCTCCTGGCTCCCTAGCCAGGGTACTCAGTTTCCCATGCATTCTGCAATATGAACTCATAAATGTGCATACTTCCTCTCAAAACCCAGGTTCTTCCCCAGGAGCTCTTGAGGCTATGGCTAGCAGCCACACCACAAACCCTTCTCAGAATCTCTGAAAGTCATGCTTATTTTCCCCCTTCAAAGCATGCTGCCTTCGGCATTCATAACTGTCACAGGCCTCTCAACACAAATGACTTGACATGGGCAAAGGCCGCTGTGCTTTCTTCCCACTTCCTGCATCACTAAGGAGTGACATCTGGTGACCTGTGGACCCTGTCAACTCAGTGTGCCCATTGGCAGGTTGTAAGTCTTCCTTGCGTTTTCTTGACACTGAAGACCGCATGTTCTGATGGGTCAAACCTAAGCCAGAGGCAACTCAACCAAGGACCTCAGGGCGAAAGGCCTGAAGCACTGACCCCTGCACTCCGGGGTGAGAGTGGGCGTCTTGTGGCCACCTGTACAGCCTGCAAGCAGTCCCTGCTCACCTCTTCTCCACATCAAGCAGGTCATGCTCTCCCAAGCGCACCCCAGGCCCTGTCCAATGCAAAGGCAGGCCCGGCTCCAACCACCTCGGGAGCGGTGAACAGGAAGATCTGCCTCTTGGCAGGTGAGTGCAGGTCACTGGGAAGCTTGCGCTCCGGAGGAGCACCAGTCCAGGGGCTGCGACAGAGGGGTTTGGAAAGGTCTAGGGATGGAGAAAGAAGTCAGCTGAAGGACTCCTGAGAGTGGACAGGGCCTCTTCCGCCTGGGAAAGAGAGAAACCGCGACCCGCGGAAGCTTGGGACGCACCTGGGATTCCGGCGCGGGGTGGACGGGCGCCCTCCCTCCGACCACCGCCCTCCCGAGCCCCCCGGCCCCGGGCCCGCCCGCCCTACCTCGCCGCTTGGCGCGCACAATGCCCTTCTTCTGCAGCACAAATGTAGACCCGTTCACCAGGCTCGACACCACCGCCACGCCCAGGCCGAGCGACACGGCGGCGGGGCTCGGGCTCCGCGCCCCCTCCCCGGCC